TGTTTGACTATTTTGGGACATTTTTGGTGTATCTTTTATTTTCGTCCGGAATCCGCCTGTAGGGGGACATGTCCGACCTAAGTGTACTTTCCGTGCCCTAGATGGGGCCCTCAAGGGGTCCCCTGGTGCCCAAATGGGGCACGAAAGCTATGCGTCTCTTCGGCCCCCGCTTCTCGCCCCCCCAGTAAGTAATGGGGGTGCCGGAGGGGGCCTCGTGGCGATCAGGGTTCGGGTCAGGGTGCGCGGCCAGCGCGAGCGTGAGCGTGAGCCCTCCGAATCTCTGGGCGCCGCTGGTCCGGCCGGTGCGTTCGCGCGCGTGTTCCCGGGCTTGCCTGCACGAGCCTCGAACTGACATTTGAGCTGCTTGTGGTTGGTCCTGTCGCAGAAGCGAGAAGCGAGCGCGTGAGTCCCCCGGTTTTAACCGCTCTGGTTGCCTGGTGAGCTTTCGACGGTGCTTGGGTGCCTGGACACTTGAGGAGTCCCCTTGGGTTCCTCGTGGGCCGTGGGTCCTCAACCGTTTTGGACACTGTTGTTCTCTGCGCTTCTGGGTTTTTCGTGGGCGTTCTGGGCGCCTCCTGTGTGCTTGTTGGGCGTCGCCAGAGCTTGTTGTTGTTATTGTTGCGGTTGTTGTAATAGTTCTGTTTGTTTGTTGCGGTTGCGGTTTTGGTTGTGGTTGCTGTTGCGTTGTCGTCGTCGTCGTTGTCGTTGGGGTTGTTGCTGCCGCTGCTGTTGATGTTTTTGTTGCTGTTGTGTTTGTTGTTGCTGTTGCTGTTGTTGTTACTGTTGCTGCTGTTGTTGCTGTTGATGTTGGTGTTGATGTTGTTATTGTTGTTGCTGCGGCTGCTGTTGTTGTTGTTGTTGTTGCTGTTGTTGTTGTTGTTGTGGTTGTTATTTTGGTTGTTGTTGTTGTTGCTGCTGTTGTTGCTGCGGTTGTTGTTGTTGTTCTTGTTGTTGATGTGGTTGTTGAACTCTCATTCTTGAAGAATAATTATTGTTGATCCCCCCCCACCGGTGCACATTGTTTTTTTAGATTGAAGTGCCACCCCCGGGGCTCGCACCTTGTTTTTTCTCAAGGAAAGTCTTCCTGCTCAAATTGTGCCCCTGCCCCCCGGGCTACAACAACAACGGCTCCCGCCTGAGACTTCCTCGATTTTTACTCAGGACCCCCGCTCCCGCCTGAGACTTCCGCGCAATTTACTCAGGATCTGAGACTTCCTCGCAATGTAATCAAGACCCCCGCTCCCGCCTGAGACTTCCGTGCAATTTACGTGGGAACGGCGCTCCCGCCTGAGACTTCTTCGAATTTTACTCAGGACCCCCGCTCCTGCCTGACATTTCCGCGCAATTGACTCAGGAACGGCGCTCCCGCCTGAGACTTCCTCGCAATTTAGTGAGGACCCCCGCTCCCGCCTGAGACTTCCGTGCAATTTGCTCAGGAACGGCGCTCCCGCTTGAGACTTCCTCGCAACTTAGTCAGGGCCCCCGCTCCCGCCCGAGATTTCTTCACAATGTACTCAGGACTGCGCTCTCGCGTGCGACGTCCTCACAAATTATTCTGGAATTGCGTTTCGGCGCTCAGGAACCACGCACGCGCCAAGGACGCCTTCACAACGTGGTATCTTCCCTCTTCCTTCGTCCTTCCCCCTCCCCTTCCTCCCACTCTCCCTCGTTCTTCCCCTCCTCCTCTTGCAGGGCCCGCGCCAATTCCAATGGCGGGCAGAGAGATGTACGCCCCCGAAGGATTGTCCGCCCGTTCCGGTTTGCCCGTACGTCTAAGCCCGCCGGCCCCAGCAAAGAGAAATAATCCCCCCGAAAGGGGTGTGATCGAAGACGAAGAGGGCGGGTTTCGAGGGTGTAGGGTATACGTGTTGAATGACTCGCGGGCAAGTAAGAGCGTACAGCCTTAAAATGGTTGTTGTTGTTGTTGCTGCGGCTGCTGTTGTTGTTGTTGTTGTGGTTGTTATTGTGGTTGTTGTTGTTGTTGCTGCTGCTGCTGTTGCTGTTGCTGTTGATGTTGTTGTTGTTGTTGTTGTTGTTGTTGTTGATGATGTGGTTGTTGTTGTTGAACTTTCATTTCAGAAGAATAATTATTGTTGATCCCCCCTCACCCGTGCATGCTGTTTTTCTCAATCAAAGTGTGTCCCTCGACGCTCGCACCTTGTTTTTTTGTCCTGGAAAGTCTTGGTGCTCAAACTGGGCATCTGGCCTCCCGGATTACAGCAACAACGGCTCCCGCCTGAGACATGCTCCACACTTTTCGAGAGAGCGTGATCCACCGCCGCTTCACTGTGGAAAATTCCCCCCGTTCTTCCTCCGGAACCCGGCCCCCCCCCCCCCCCTCCTCCGAAAATCCCCCCCCTGTTGGACCCCCCCCCCCCTCCCGTCCCCTTCACCGGCAAACCCCCCTTCCCCGAACCCCTCCCCCCCCCTCTCCCTCGAAAGCCGGGGGGGTCACTACCGCCGGAGAGTGGGTCACTACTGGTTCGAACCCCTCCCCCCACCCCCCCCTTCACCGCAAGCAAACGACTCCCGGTCCCTACCACCCACCGTCCGCACCACATCCCCCTGTTGTTCCCACCACCATTGTCCTCACCACCACAGTCCCCACTGGTTCCACCACCGTCCCTACTGTCCCCACCAGTGCCCCCACCTCTGTCGCACTGTCCCCACTGTCCCCACCACTGTTCCCACCACGGTTCCACTCTCCCCACTTTCTCCACGGCCCCAACCACTGCCCGACTATCCCCACTGTCCCCACTGTCCCACTGACTCCTCCGCTGTCCCACTGAGCTGTCCCACTGTTCCCACCACATCCCCACTGTCCCCACCACTGTCCCCACTGTACCTCTGTCCCATTGTCCCACCGCCGTCCTCGCCACCGCCTTCACCACTGTCCCCACCACCACTGTACCCTCCACTGTCCCACTGTTTCCACCACATTCCCACTGTCCCCACACCACTGTCCCCACCACCACCGTCCCCACCACTGTCCCACTGTTCCCACCATTGTCCTCACCACTGTCCCCACCACTGTCCCACTGTCCCCACCACTGTCGCGCTGTCCCCTCACCAATGTCCCCACCACCACCGTCCCGAACCGGTAGTGACCCCCCCCTGTTTTCCACCAGCAGCGGTAGAACACGCTCTTTCCATTTTTCAAGACCCCCGCTCCTGAGACTTCCTCACAATTTACTCAGGATCGGTGCTCCCGCCTGTGACTTCCTCGCAATTTAGTCAGGACCCCGCTCATCTGAGACTTCTTCACAATTTACTCAAGAACGGCGCTCACGCTTGAGACTTCCTCGCAATTGAATCAAGAATTCCTTGCAACTTAATCAAGATTTCCGCTCCCGCCAGAGAACCCTTCACATTTTATTTAGGAATTGCGCTCTCGCCTGTGACTTCCATGCAATTTATTCAGAAATCGCGCTTTCGACGCTCAGGAAACACGCTGCGCCAAGGACGCCGTTACAAATCACTTAGTAATCGCGCTCTCGCCATACTCAGGTATCGCGCTTGAGTGTCCCATCCGCTCGACCCGCCCGTCAGGGGATCGCCCGCCCGTCGTGGGCTCCCGCCCGAGACTTCCTTCAGGAACGGCGCTTTCGCCTAGGACTTCCTTGAACGTTCACGCTCTTACCTTCCTGCTCCTCCTCCCTCTCCCTCCTCCCTCCTCCCTTCTCTCCTCCCTTCTCTCTCCCTCCTGTCTTCCCTCATCCTTATGCCTCTCTGCCCTATCCCCTCTCCCTCCTATCCCTCCTATCCCTCCTCCCTTCTCCCTCCCCTCTCCTGCCTCCTCCCTCCTTTTTTTTGTTTGTTTGTTTCTCTCTCTCTCTCTCTCTATCTCTCCCCCCCCCTCTCTCTCTCTCTCTTTTTCTACCTCTCTTATCTGTCTTTTTCTCTTTCTCTCTGTCTGTCTGTAATGAACCGCCCCCCTCTTCGCTCCTTCTCTCCTGGCGTTTTCCCTCTTTCTTCGTCCCTCCCCCTCCCTTCCTCCCACTCTCCCTCGTTCTCCCCCTCCTCTTTTTGCAGGACCCACACTAATTCCAATGGCGGGCACACGTATGCCCACGAAGGATTGTCCGCCCGTTCAGGTTTGCGCGCCTGTCTAAGCCCGCCGCCCCCCGCAAAGAGAAAGAACCCCCAAAAGGGGGTGTGATCGAAAACAAAACGGGCGGGTATCGAGGGTGTGGGGAACTCTTTTTGAATAACACGCGGTTGTTGTTGGTGGAACTCGAACAGTCATGTAATGATTGTTGCTGTTGTTGGTGGTGGTGGTGGTTGTGAGGGACGGGCGCCGAGCCCCGGCCCCGCCCCCTCCTCCTCCTGCTCGTCCTCCTCCTCCTCCTCCTTCTGCTCGTCCTCCTCCTCCTCCTCCCCCTCCTGGTCGCCTTGCTCCTCCCTGCTCCTACTCCTCGCCACTACTCCTCCGCGGTTGTGGTCGAGCAAGGTTTTCTTCTCTTTCTCCTCCTCGCTTCTCCTGCTCCTCCTCTTCCTCCCCTTTCCTCCCTCCTCCTCCTCCTCCTCTTCCTCCTTCTCGCTCCTCCTCCATTTCTTTATCGTCCATTCTCCCTGTCGCACCCCGAGGCCAAATTTCAGGGCGGGTTGGGCCTTTCGCTTGAGAGTTCCTCACCATTCATGACTGAAGCTGAAAGTGGCAGCAGTTTCACACATGGAGGGCGGGTGGTTTTCAAGATGTGGATCTCGCCTTAGCGCCGCGCTTTTTTCTTTACAAGCATTTCCACCTCCTCCTCGCTCCTCCGTCCTCGTCGTCCGTCGTGATCTCCCGTCGCGTCGCGAGGAGGCCCCCGCCCCCCCCGCCCCCCGAGGACACCGTCAAAAACCCAGCGGCGACCGTGCCCGCGCGGAAGGAGACGCGCGCCGAGGGCGCCGCGACCCCCTGGCTCTCACCGGGCTTCAGGGTCGCCAAGCAGCGACTTACAGTCAGAGGAGAACAAGGTACCCGTATTGCTACTCTTCCCTCGTTTTACCCGTCGTGGGCCTCCTGGGCGGCCCTCGTCGCCACCTCTAGAATGTCTTCGAAATCTGGGTCAAAACGCACTCCGGTCCGAGGAACAGCAGCATTGGTACCTGTTGGTTTCCCCATCCATTGGAAACCTAGGGCAGGTGCGCGTCATGTGGACCAGCGGCGACCCCGCCACCTGCGCTCAGCGTTGAGTGCCGCCTGCGACCAAGATCCGGTCGATGTTGAAGGATCTGACGCCCGATTCGGAAACGGCCGATCGTTCAAGGTTCACTGATCCCAGCGAAGTGGGGAACGAACACCGAGGTCGGCACGACGTGAACCTGCCGTATGCCGAGCAGCACCCTGCTTGTCTCCAGGGAGCCCTGGGCTCCCCGGGTTCCGATGGTCTAGCTCTGGGAAGCATGACGGTCCCACACGGAACATCCGTGGATATCCTGGGGTTGCAGGGCTCGATTTCTTGGAGAAGGTTTCCTGCGGTCGAGTTCCTACCGTGTGTCGAGGGAGAATGCTGCTCTCACACCACACATACACTTTCGCAGCTCTGCACGGATTTGTTGGACCTTCACGGGCGCCCCCTGGCGGCGCCTCCGGCGCCCTCCCCGACGCGCTCCGAGGGGGGTTCCCGGCGCCGATCCGAGAGATCCGCACGGACCTCCGAGGCTCATCCCCTGTGGCTTCCTTTCGTTTTTCGGCCCGAGGTGCTCACGCCCTTCTCCGCCGACCCCCCGACAGAAGGGATGCAGTCCACGGGCGAGGCCTTCTGGGGCCTCCTGGGCCCTGGGGGGCCCTCGGGGGGCCTCTCGTGGCCCTGGGGGCCTCCTGGGCCTCCTGGGCCCTGGGGGCCTCCTGGGCCCTGGGGGCCTCCTGGGCTTCCTGGGCCCTCGGGGCCTCCTGGGCCCTGGGGGCCTCCTGGGCCCTGGGGGGCCCTCGGGGGGCCCCTCGGGGGGGCCCCTCCTGGGCCCCTTGGGGACCCTCAGCGGGGCCTCTCTGGGGCCTGCCTGGGTGCCCCCTTTCGGAGTGTCCTTGGGGCGCCTGCGGGCGGCCCCAGAGGTCCTCGGAGGGCGGAGGGCTCGGAGTGCCGGCTCGAGGCGCCGCTCTCGTGCCCGGCTTGGGGCACCTTTTGGGGCTCCTTGGGGCCATCGTGGGCGCCTCTTGGGCCTTCCTGGGGCCCTCGTCGGTCGTCTTGGAGCGATCGCGGGGGCCTCTGGAGCCGTCTTGGACGCCGTCAAGACAACAAATGCGAGTCTGCTCAAAATGTAGCCCCCTCTCCGGGATTTGGACGATGCTTTCTTCCTGGGGCCCTCTAGGGGGTCGTCTTGGAGCCCTCTCGGGGCGTCTTTCAGGCCCTTGGGTAGTCTTGAGGCCATCTGGGTCGTTTTTGAGTAGTCCTCAGTGTGTTGGAGGAGCCCAGCTCGAGCCAACTTTGATGGCATCTTGGGCATCCTGGAGGCCACGGACTCTTAGTTTTGGAGGCTCCAGATGCCCGGGGGAGGCGTTTGGGAGCTCTACCCCCCCCCCCCCCAACTCTGGCCCCCCTCACCTCTAATCGTAGTTCAGACCCCAGGGGAGGGGGACGGGAGAAAGGGGACAGCCAATCATCTCGGATTACGACGAGAAGCCAGTCGTGGGGATGAGGTCCAGACCTCAGGGCCTCCGCGCTGCAAAACGCACTTGCGTCGGATGTCTGTCAGGATGGCGAAAACAGGCAGGCACGACTCATCGTCGACTCTCTGTGAGACACGCGGAGAGTGTGGGAAGGGAAGGGGAGCAAAAACATCCCAGGAGGCATGTAAAATAAGGGAAACCTCCCGGGATCTCTTGCCTGTCTTTCTGTGCGTCCTTGGGCTCCTTCCGGCTGGGCGCCTCGTGAGGCCGCCCCCTCCCGGGACGGCCTGCCCAGACTCCGCAGCGCATGGAGCGGCAGGGAGGGCGGTGTGCTGGCTCGTCTCTGGGCCTCCACGGGGGCCCCTGCCGGGCCCCCAGGGGCATGATGGCTACTGTGGCCCCCGCCGCGGCCCCCCCCCTTCCCCCCCTATAACGTACAGTGCCGTTTTTAATACATGCTCCGCGTGCGGATCATGTATTCAGAATGCAGGGTTTTGTATTAAAACAACGAGGAGTTCATGTATACATTTATTCATGCATTCATCGTGTCTTAAACATAGTTTTCTTGTTTTGTTTTAAAGTCCTATGTGTTAAATCATGCCCTGTATAACGTAACGCCCCTCCCCCCTACGTGCGCTCTGGGCACTGCCGCCGTGCCACACGGCGGGGTGGAGGCGTTAAGATTATGCCCCCCTCCTAGCGCCCCCCTACGGGGCCGCATGCGAACCCTCCCCCTCCCCCCCTCAGAAATCGTGGGGGGTAGGGGTAGGGTTCGCATGTGGCCTCCTACCCCCCCCCTCCCTCCCCCGCTAAAATGCCCACTATCGCCGAAGATAAAGAAACGCGTTCCAGGGGCCGCCCTTGCCGGGCCCCAGGGCCGTCCACGAAACGACTCGAAATGAAGAGTCGCTTCTAGGGGCACGAATAATGACATACACACAACAGTTCGGAGGTCCGGGCTGATTTCTCGGATCGGCGCTGGGGCCCCCTGGCGGCGCCTCCGGCGCCGCCCCTGGCGCGCTCCGCGCACCAGGGAGTGGGGTTCAGCGCCGATCCGAGAAGTCCGCGCGGACCTCCGAGTTTTCAAATGTTTATGTCATTCTTGGCCCCCCTATGAAGAGCCGCTTCCCAAGGGAAGCGGTCGGGGCCGCTGGGGTCCCTGGAAGAATCGAAAAGACTGGGGCTTCGGATCTCTCTGGGCAGGCGCAGTCTCCAGGTCTTCAGCCTCCTCCCAAGCTGCGGCGGTGGACGACGCTCAGTGGAGAGGAAGCACGTTGCCAAAACAGTTCCCGATGTCTCACACATGGTCAAAACATGCCTTAAACATGTAGAACACGTTTTTAACACACTATTAGAACAGGTTTCAAACATTTTCAACGCACTTTCACTCAGTGATGGGACTGTCGGGGTGTCCATGGCCATGGCATCCGCGAGCCTACGGCAGGTTCGCGCCGCGTGGACGCGGCGGCGGCGCCAGCTCGGGCGTTGAAACCCGAGCGCCGCTGGTGGCCCGGGACCGACCGCTGTCGAGCAACCTGAGCCGTCGGAGAGCCGCGACTGTTCTCAGGGTCGAAACTTTCCGCGGGGTGTCAGAGACCAACACCGACGGCATCGCCGCGCGAGCCTGCCGTGCCTCCCTGCTCCCTCCGCGGAGCGAGGGGGAGAGCTGGGAGGGGGAGGGGGTGGCTGCCACGCTCCTGGGCACTCCTCCTGGTCCGCTCTTCTTCCTTCATGTCTCTTCCTTCTCATCGGGCCTCGCTCTTCCTCCGAGGAGGACGGAGGCGCGAGGAGGAGGAGGAGGAGGAGGAGGAGGGACATTTGTTTGCACTCATCTCTCTGGCCTTGTCCTTCCAATCTTCTAATTACGCTGGCCTCGCCTTAATTTGTCACCGCAAGCTCTGCGTAAGTCGGATCGCTTACCTTGATCGTTCTTGCCACTGCAGAACGCTCCAAGCTTAGTTCGAATACGCCAGAACTCGAGTTTGCCGACGCTTTTTGATGAGCGCGTCTTGGATTTTGACGAGCGTGGGATGTTTGCAGCGGGAGTTCGCGTCAGATTGACTCTCGTCATTTTCATGATGGCCCCGACAGGCCAACCCGAGTCCCCCGAACCCGCATCTTCTTGGCACCGCTCGGACGTGTGCATTTTTTTGCGGCGAGGGCCATCGCAGAGCATATTGGAGCATCCTACGAAAAATGCGCGCACGGAGCCGAACCATGAACGGGGGATAAACGTCCGAGCGATGGCGAGTCTTCCGCCTCCCCGATTAGTTTTTCAAGTTGGAGGCGGAGGAGGAGGAGGAGGGAGGAGGATGAGGAGGGAGGAGGAGGGAGGAGGAGGAGAGGGAGGATAACTACTGCATCTTATGGAAGGGAAGAGCCCCGGGGAGGCGTGGCAACGGGGGGTTGTCCAGGGGGGTTGTCTGGATCCCCGGCGGGTTGTCCGGGGTGTTGTCCGTGGTAGGTCGTCCTGTCGTCGTTGAGCAGCATGGGTTGTCCGGGCTGTCCAGGGGGGTTGTCCAGGGGTTCCCTTGGATTGGATTGTATTCCTTTGGAATGCAGCAGGGTAAACCCAACATGTATCATGCATCATTGGAGCTGCAATGCACCCTTGGTCCCAAGTCCCCTCCTCATGCGTCCCCCGCGATCCGACCGTTCCACTGCATGAAGCGCCCCTCCCCCCCACTCCTGAAAGGCAATCACCCTACTGGCCTCCCATTCCAGCGATCGCTCCGTTCTGTGAAGAGACTGCCTTGCATCCTTCTGGCGGCTATGAAGGATGCGACAAGTAATGATAAATCATCGGGAAAAATATGCCTTATCCCCAATAACGCGATGAAGACGTGGCCTCACTAAGGTGCCCGCCTTCGCATTAGGGGTCATACATCTGGGCGGTTATTCTGACATATCTGCAGAACAAACAAATACCATTATCCCTAATGTTTTATTGCCCTATGAACTGAGGCCCCCTCCCAAAGGGGTAGTGGTGTTCTTTTTGCTTCTCATAACATACAGTTCAGCGGTTCATCCAGCGCGATCCCCGTTTTGGGAAAGGGCCGCACCCGTCTGTGCGATTGCTCCACGAGTTTGTGTCTCTCCTCCTCCTCCTCGTCCTTCTCCGCCTCCTCCTCCTCCTCCTCTTCCCTTCCTCCTCCTCCTCCTGCTCCTCCTCCTCCTGCTTCTGCCTCCTCCTCCTCCTCCTCCTCCTCTGGGCTTCGTGGACATCTCCAGCGATAGCCCCGTGCTGCAAAGGTACGGCCAGCCTCCGCTCGTCGCGCGGCCGCCGCCCCTCCGCCGCGGTGTCCTTCCCTTGGCCCTCGCGCGTTCGCCTGCTCGTCGGGCCCTCGTTCGGCCCCGTGGTTGCCTGGGAGCGAGCGCTTGACTCCAGTAGAGAAAGGTACGGCCTCC